CTGAGCTGCCACTTAGCAGCTCTCCACTTACCATGTCACCAAAGTGTCTGGTGCTCAACAGGTATTTGCACGATGAGTAAAACCGACCCCACATATTAGCACCGAGTGCTGTGGCCCTGCGCGGTGCGATAGAAAATTATCCTTGAAGAGCAGGCACCAGCATGCACAGGTTATTAGTGGAAAGCACCCTGCTCATTTCTTTGTAAATCAAATGCTTAGAATGTTTAATGAATAAACTACTTGAAGTGCATTTAAAAAACCATATGAAGGTAATTCCATGGGCTTTCCTGAGCAGAAGGCTCAGATGTTTGTAGAGACTTGGATTTTGGAGCAGAAAGCCTGGTGGGATTTTGTTAAAGTGTCTGTGAAAATCAGTCCTGGAGCAGAGAAACATCTCGTTTGAATTTTGAGTCAGTTGTGAGCATCCCCTGAAGCTCCAGGAAAGCACTCTGGATTCAGGTCTAGGGCTCCAGTTTTAATATTTATCAAAGACCTATTCCTTTGTTTAGTCAGCCATATCTTCCTTCCTCTGTTGCCTCATTCCAAGGGAGTCCTCTGGCTAGAGACAGGGCACTAGGTGCTAAGGAGAAACTCTAAATACTGATTGTCACACAATTAAAGTTTTCTTCAAGGTATCAGCAGAACAACTGTAATTGCATTGGAGGGGGGGAAGCCCCTCTCCAGGGTCCTGAGCAAATTATTTTCATTATGCTCATGTAGAAGTCTACACTGAAAAGCTGTCTCTGGCCAGAGTGAGTGAAAAACAATGGGATCAGTCTTCATTGTCTTCCACCCAGAACCCTGGCTAGTTTTAGGGTGAACAACGCTGACAAAACATTGATTTTCAAGCTCAATGAGCATTCAAATTTCTGCAAATAGATCAAGGCATGCAAAGTTCCTGCAGGGACACTCTAAAAAGATAAATCTTTCTCTCAATTCTTGTTAATTTTCTAGGAAAAATTTCCTGCTTCCTCTACCCCTTTTGTATGTTATCTTCCTGAATAGCAGAGAGAAGAAAGGCATCTACTTTGAAGGCTGGATCTTGGTAAAACAGCAGTGCTAAGGAAACAAACATTTAGACAAAGTTGGTTTTCAGACAAGAAAACCAAAAGCAGGGGTTTATATAGACACAGGAATGTAAGGTGACAAGTCATTTGGTTATTAATCATTTTACCTTTTTGGTGCCTAGAGGCCTACTCCAAATTTAATCAATAATTTAAATTTAAGATTTAGTGAATAGACATTGGAAACTCACGATCATGTACTATTTTTTAAAAACATCAAATGGGTATTGGCATAAGAGAAGTTTATTTTGGCTTTCATCCAAGTAGCCTGAATTGAAGGAAAGCTGGGGGTGAGTTTTGGAGGACACAGTGTCACCAGTTGAACTGGGTGAACTCTGTGGTGGTAAGTCCAGAAGTTTGGCACTGGGGATCTGCAGAAAATTCAGGGTGATGCTGCAGTGTTTCTGGGCTTGGTGGTTGTTATTAATGTCTCATTATGTGGTTAAGCAGCTCTTGTTATATAACTGAATGAATTATGTTGTCCAAGGTTATTGCTCAGATAACCTGCTGGAAATGGTAGTTTCCTCTTTCATCCCATGAATCTAAATGTTAACTGAGTGCTTGTTAGCTTTTCACTTACATCGGAGGGATTCATTAGCTCTTACATCTCTGRCTATGCACTTTAAGAGTCTTTAGATTAAAGATGAATCAAAGTGATTCAGTCCTGTAAGTTCTGGACTAGAAACCAGGGTCTCTCTGGACATCATCCAAGTGTAAAATGTCGCACAAATTGCCTTTAAAAATTAATAATTCACCAAATCTATGGGCTAAGCCCAGTCTGGCTTGAGAAGATAAGTAAAATAAATATTGTAAAGTCAATTTTTAATAATCTGTGGCATAAAATTTAAGCACAAGAGAAAACATTTAGCAATTAGGCAGGAGCATTCAGTGCATGATTAAATATGAATAATAATATTTAAAAGGCCCATACCTTACCTGCTAGCAGGAAATATCATTTCAAGTTCTAATCTAGTACATAGCACAGCTCACACCATTTCTTTGTTTAATGAGCTCCCGCCTTGTGGTCTTCATGTTTGAGCAGTTACTTTTATAAGTATTTCTACATCGATAGCTATGTGTAAGGCCAGCAAAAAGCAGAGACAGATATTTGATGGGAGATTGTCAGATCAGCGCAGTCACTGAAAATAATATAATTAGATCCTTCACTGGACTGGTAACCAGTAGTCGGGTGTATTTATCTAATTATCGAGACAGTGCATTTACATCTGAGGGGATTTTATTATARGAGGTTTATAAAATTTGGAGTTGAGGTTGATCTTCCGTCTCTACATARCAAATAGAAGCTGGCCTCTGGGCTACGGCTTTTCACGATGAAGAATAAAATCCCTGATGGATGATGGCAGGTCCTCATCTTCCAGAAAGAGGAATCAAAATAAAAGGCAGAGGAAATGAAATAGCCTGACTGAAAAATATGGGGAGAAAGCATGGTGTTCTCAGAGAGTGAGCAACAGCCTGYAGCCGGAACCATTCACTCTGCACTCAGGGTACGGAATCTGGAAAGCTAAGGGCAAGAAAATATAATTCCYGAGGACCCTGTCAATTAACAAGTTTCCAGGGCCAGCAGCAAATTAGAATGTCTTGAAAAACACGGTACTAAAATCTGTGTTGGGTTGTAAGGGACATTTCCAAAGGAGCTGGTGTTATGCATTCACCCTTAGCAAGTCTGCAAGTAAAGAAAAGATGGACCRACCATTCCAGGTGACAATGGGGAATTCTCATCAGTCCAGCATTGCTCAGATCTCCTTTGCCTGCTCTCACGCAACCTGGGATTCTGCCTTTGCTCTTGTCCATCTAATGCTTTAATGAAAATCGCTCACCACTAGGGRCGCTCAAGCTCCTCTTCTCTCCAGCTCTGGTCAAAGTCAAGGATGGTAGCCCAGGTGACCAGAATGGGCAAGATGCTGGGTAGAGTAGGGATGGGACCTGGACAGGGACATCGGACCTRGCTTAATTTAATCTAGACAAAAGGGAGTGGGAGGCAAAGCCTTAGAGTAAGAAACCGGTGCACATTTACCCACCCATGTATCCTGTAGTTCCTATCTCCTATTCAGATTTGTAGGTTTCCAGGCAAGAGGGCTGTTCAGGATCTGGGAATTAACTGGCCACACTCAATAATTCTAAAACAAGGGATATCAAACATTTCAGTGTCGCTGCTTTGTGGTTTCACAAAATCTACTTTTCCTTTTTTTGGAAAATAATTGGCCCTTTTCTAAAAGCTATAGGAGTTTGCAGGTCATAGAGGGATTTGAACTTCTTATTGTCTACAATCTGGGTCATTGTAGAATTGTATTAACTTATTAAATAAGTATTATTGACATGTACCAAGAATTAGCACTAGTCTAGGCCCTGGGGTGACAGCACTAGTGAAGATACACAAAAATCTTGCCTTTATGAACTTGGATGACAGGGTATGAAATGTGCCAATAGTCAAGGTGCTCGATAACACCATGAGATGCATCACRAGGGAATGTGGAGTTAAGAGAGCTCATGACTGTAGTTTGGTGGTGACTGTGGTCTTTGTCCTTTACAGCATAAGACCCACCCTGTCACCACCTAAGGGGAGCCCCAGGGCAGGGGACATGTTGATAGGAAAGTGGTTGAATGGTGGGGACACAAGTCATCTTCTAATCCTAAATCCAGCTAGAGTGCTTGAAGGACTTCTAGACTAAAATAGGAGGAAGAAAACATTTTGCCTAATTGCACTTTCCCTTGACATACTGGCCTTATGAGGAGGGGTTGAGAAATGTACCCATCAGATGGGCTGTTTTTCTCTGGCGTTGTATGGAAAAGCATCTTGAGGCTTCATATTCTAGGGGAGACTAATGGGCTTGAGACACTGAATCTGAAAGCTGCTCCTAGCTAACRATGCTCAAAAAAGGCCAGAGTCCTCCACCAAAGCCCAAGGCTGCGCATGTAAACAAAGACTCAGTTCTTGACCCCCATAAATTTGTGATCCAAGGTCAGCAGGAGGAATAGAACAGGGATGTCAAGTTATGTCAAAAGGATGATTAAAATTATGTGGAATCAATCAAGTCAAGAGGGCTCTTGCCAATCAATGGTGGCCACTCAATCTTGGAGTTCCCAGCCTCTAGAACCATGAGCCAAATAAAATTATATTGCTTACAATTTACCGATCTGTGACATTCTGTTATAGCAGCAGAAAATGGAATGAAACAGCTGAGCATTGAACTCTGACGACTATGGCCACAGTGGCCACTAATCTGTTAATGTGCATCAGAGAACGCAGTCTGCCCATTACTCACATGGGAAGGAATCACTGAGCTTTTCTAAAGCACTCAGATTTGGGCAGCAGCCAGGTATGAAGGACATCAGTACACCCTCTGCCTGTTGTTTGCTCCCTCTCCCTCCGTCTACACTGAGTCTTCATAAAGATGACCACTCGGAGTGTGGCGACAGGAGCATCCACCTTTTGGGTATTTCTAATGGTAACTCCTGCAGCTAAGTGAGCTCTTGGGAGCTACAAAACAACCTAGTGAGATAGGTAGAATGTGTGCTTTTCCTATTTTATAGATTCAGAGAGGTGCCCCAACTTGCATACTTTTTCCTAGAGCCCACCCCAAGGAAGGGCAYGTGGGGACAAGCTCTCTACCTGCTCAGAAACCTCACAGTCTCTCATTGTGGCGGGGATTCATCTGGTTTCTGGCTCACCTCTCCAACTATACCCCTGTACCAACCTTCAGCCTCATGAAGATGAGAAGCCGACAGGTTACAGGCCTGGCTCAGACCATTGGTTCCCTGCTCTCCTGGAATTGCTGCCCTTATTTCTTCACTAACCTGATTACCATTCATTCCTTAAAATGGTGTTTGGCTCCTGGGTACTCTTCACAATTCCATGAGACTTCCAGAAACCTCTCCATCTTCCCTTGGCTTCCCTGAGCCCTGAGTCAGGCTCACCATGGCTGAGGTGCACTGCTGGGCATCTCCATGGGGGTTCATGGCACTGTAGCGGATGCTGGGCTTCTCGACAGGTGGGGAGACCATTCCTGACCCATCTTCCCTTTTCTCCTGCTTCTTAATGAGATTCTAGATATACCAGCCGCTCAGACTTTGCTGATTGATCTTAGCTAAGGAACCCGGAGAATATTAGAATTTTTGAGTGTGGCTTTGGGGGTAAGAGGAGCCCAGAGCTATTTACCTAGCTACCTCCTAGTCTGATGAGGAGAAGCAGGAAGGCYGTATCTCAACCGTGCCATTGGGAGTCTATCTCAGAGCCAGGGTAYAGATCACACAAGCAGTGCYATGCTCCATGGCCGCTACCTGGTGGGTACTGACTTGTAGTAAAGTTTCAGGTTCTAGTGGAGTATTTACAAATTACTTTTGTATTCTCCCCGAGAGTTCTGTGGCTGGGTGGTGTAATTTCTTGGGTTATAGCCTAGGAAAGTTTTAGACATGGCAATGAGGCCGAGTCTCTCAACATGCTCATTAAATGCGCATGCAAATTTGGCACTTTGTCATGATAGTGCATTAGGAGACTGAAAAAAAAAAAGACAGAGAGAGATAAATAAAAAATAAAAGGCACAGATGGGGCACGGACAGTTTCTCATTGCTTGTTCCATATGATAGAACTCAACACATCTGGTCTGCTACGAAAAGCATCTTTGCACTAATTTGTTTGTCAGTATCCATTGAGAGGACGATCTGTCATCCTGYCGTATTTTGGTTGCCCCGAGATGTTTGAAGACAAGGCTAGCCACAAATTGGAACTGTGGCCACCTGGGAGTGAGTGGAGGAAACCACCAGCTGTTCAAAGTAACATCAACTGTGACTTTTTTTTTTTTTAGCTGAAATTTTAACGTAAGCTCTCCAAAAGCATTTAGCAGCTACGTGGAAAAAGCTAATCACAGTAACAGGGGAATGAGTCTATCCCTCCTCGTGCTCTGATGTGTGTCTGAGTATGTGTGTGCACACCTGTGCAACCCTCATTATTGTCTGGAAAAACAATAGGGTGAGGTGGTCAGAATTCAAAGAGCACAGAACCTGTCTTGCTTCTTGATCTTTCAAGGTTTTCTGGTCAAAGGAAATGTCCCGTTATTCTGCAATTTGTCTTGAGTTGCAGAAAGAAGAATTGAGATTTCATTGTCTGCTTCATTTGATTTCCTGATGGCCTGATCTGGTCATGGCTCCACTACCTCATACACCACCTGTTTCTCAGAACACATTATGCTAAATGACATTCATTCATTTAGGTGTTTGTCTCCCAGAATAAATTTTAATCTTCCTACAGAATGGATAATATGCTTTGTCCTAGAACACAATAGATGCTCAACAAATGTTATTTGGGTTGAGGAAATTTAAATTTATACATCTTTTGAGCAATATGTGAAGTGTCCAATGTCTGAGACTAGATGTGCGACCCTCCAATGACCTGAGGATTCCTTTGCATGTCCTGTCTGTTTATCACTCAGCAGGTCTCCGTGGAGCATGTGCTCACAGGCCTCAGATCTCAGAGGAGGATCAGGGTCTCTACGAAGAACAGCCCTCCTCTGCTGGAGCTTTTGTAAAGTCTTAGAAGTTACCTTCCATGAAAGCACGCTTTGTTCCTGACTTAACAACCCCTTACTTCCTGCCTTTCTTGCACTTGGTTTGTAACTTGAATTTCATGATTGAGCAGATTCTTTTTAATTGCCACGAAGATATCACATGTGTTCAAGCACACATGGTGAAATAGATTAGCAAATACCAACTCCTGCCTAAAGCCACCAACTTCCAACCATAACTCGGTTGTCAGAGAAGGATGTGCAAACATGGAGGAGAGAGAATGACTCCCTGTGGAGCTGAATCKGGTGCGGATTTCACCGGGTAGTGTTCCTCAAAAAGGCTGAATAGTGAGTGCTGTTTGTCAGAAAGTTTTATTTATGTTCAACATTTGATCTAAAACAACAAAACTAACTGAATATAGAGAATAGGAGTCAAGATCTGACAGGTGAAAGGGCTGGTGGCTTAAGGGAAGATGGTGTCCCCAGCTCCCTGGTCAGTGGCATGAAGCTAAACCACACGGAGGGCAGATCACCAACACAGGATAATCAATCTCCCACGTGCTGGTGACATTAAACTGGGCCACAGGGTTCTTTGAAACATACAATTCTGTCCTCTTTCACAGTCTAAAAAGAAAACAAAGGAAGAATGTGGGGGAGAAGGAACACATCTGAATCTGCAGAGGAGGGGTGGAGCTTATTACCTGTAATAAAGCTGAGAATGTGAAGTAGAAGGAGCCGAGGGTCTGAGACAGGGACAGCCACTGAGCTGCACTGGCCTAGAAGCTGCGCAAAGGGAACAGGTGTTGGGATGGCGGAGGCCTGTGGGTCTGATCTGGAAGAAACCCGGGGCTGGCGTGGGGAAGACCACTTCTGGCCAGTGCTGAGGGTCTATGCTGTGACCATTCTGTGTCCCTTTCACCCTGGTTCTCTCATCAGACTAGGGACTGGCTCCTCAACAAGCAGTTTTGTGTTRAAACAAAGTAACTGAGGCAGCAAAGCAAGATCCCAGATCACTGTCCTCAAGAGACCCCTGTCCCAAACCATGCCTGCCAAGAGAAGCCAGGAGTGGCGTGTTTGGACTTTACTGTGGATTCAGATCCCTGCCCCCTGGTCCTGTGGTCAGGCTTGGACTTCCCAAGGTTGGAGGCTCCTGAGCATGACTTTTCCAGCTGCTCATTTGTGCTGGGACMTCTATGCATAAAACAACCACAGGAGTCTTTAGGAATCAGATGGCTGCCTTAGGCCACATGCCCTTTTATTAACTCCCCCAGCAACACTGAATGAGAGGGATGCTTGTTCCCATTTCACCAACAGGGAAACTGAGAATCAGAAGGTCACATGTCTGATGGCATCTAGCTAATGAGTCTAGTGTTGGAGACACACAGGTCCCTTGGTTTTTGATGTTTTCCATTTTTTTTTGATTCTTCCTCATCATCTCTAACTCACTTTAACTCAAATGTACTCCATATTCTTAGTTGGATTTCCTTCCGGAAAAGAAGTTTCTTACATGCAGAGGCTGTGTCTTCTGCATGGTCCCTGATGTTTGGCATTGCAAATTAAAACCACAATGAGCTATTACCACACAGCTAGTCCAATGGCTACAGAAAAAAAAAAAAATAGTGGCCACACCAGATGCTGGTGAGGGTGGAGAAACAGGGCTATTCATGTGTTGTTGGTGGGAATGTGAACTGTTACAACCATGTGAGGCAGAGCTCCACTCAAGGTATGTCGAGCATCTCTGTGTCATCAGAGGATTTGCTCAGGAACTCTTTCATCATACYAATATCTTACATTGCTGTTTCTTTCTTTATGGTACAGCCCAGGTCCACCATAAGAACAAAACAACAAAACAAAACAAAAAACCCTTGCATCTTGGTTCACTATTCTTTAAATTAAATTATGCATTCATCCATAATCATCATGCTTATGATTTTGTTTGTTTTCACTCATCTACTCAACAAACTTTAGCGTTTTCCTAATGTTTGAGTTTCCTGGGCCCTAGGGTGCAGCSGTGAACAAGACCTGGCCCTGGCATCCAGGAGCTAAGCACTGYTTCCTAGCTCCACCTTAGAAGGATGTGTTCACAGTCAGGAAAGTGGAGAAGAGCAGACATGGGGACCATGACAGTGTCTGTTATCTGAAATGATTTTTAAAATTTACATCCAAGTTTGAATTTGAAAATTCAGATGACTCAWAAATCGACTCACACAAATAAGCCCGACTGATTTTTGATAAAGGTGAACAAAGGATCCAATGGAGGAAAGAAAGCTTTTCAATAAATTGTGCTAGAATCCTTAGATGAGACCCAGGGGCACAATCCTTTCAAGAAAAACTCAATCTATTGGACCTTAACAAAATTGAAAACTCTTGTTTTACAAAAGACCCAAAGAGGGTAAGCCAGACTAATGACTAGAAGAAAACATCTGTAAACCAACATATTGAGCAAAGAATTAGTATCTAAATTATATAAAGAATTCTCAAAACTTGAATGTAATCAAAAGGACAAATCAACTAGAAATAGGTGAAGGAGATATTTTATTAAGGAGAATATACAGTTGGAAAATAAGTACATGAAATGATGTCCAACATCCTTAGCTATTAAGGAAATGCAAATTAAAACCACAATGAGCTATTACCACACAGCTAGCCCAATGGCTAAARAAAAAAGTAGTGATCATACCAGATACTGGTCAGGATAGAGAAACTAGGCTACTTGTRTGTTGCTGGTGGGAATRTAAAATGTTACAACYGTTCTGGAAAATAGTTTGTCAGTTTCTTATAAAACTAAGCATATAACTAATATATGACCCAGCAGTTGCCTTCTTGGGCATTAATCCCAGAGGAAATGAAAYTTATGAATGCATAGAACCTGCTATGTGGATGTTCATAGCAGCTTAATTCATAAGAGCCCCAAGCTAGGATCAGCTCAGATGCTTTTCCATGAAGGACCCATTTATACACACCAGGAAACACCACTCAGCAGTAWAAAGGACAAAGCATTCATAGACATAATGACACAGATACATCTCCAGGGGTTAGGCTGGGTGAAAAAAAAACAAAAAACAAAGAGCTCCAAAGGTTGCTTGCTCTATCATTCCTTTCATATCAATTTTTAAGTGACTAAATTATAGAAAGGGGAACAGGTAAATGGTTGCCTGTTATAGATGTTATAGATGGGGTTSAAGATGGGAGAGAGGTGAGAGTGCTTGTAAGAGGACAGCATGAGGGATCCTGTGGTGACAGAACRTTCTGTGCCTTGATGGTAATGGTGGATACACAAGCCCTCATCCAGGATACAATTCCATGGAGCTAAACACCTGTATACCCTCCACCCCACACAACACACACACACATACACACACAACACACGCACACACATGACTGACAATAAACTAAACAAGTAAACCTGGAAGAATCTGAATAAGATAGGTTGCTTGTATTCATGTCTATATCCTGGTTATAATGTTGTACTGTAGTTTTGAARATGTTTTCATTGTAGGAAAA